CGACCCCTCCTTGGGTTTCCGAGGCAGTATCACTACGGAAGTAGGATTGCCCAACCTTCCTTCCGAGGAGTGGCTGGTGGGTTTGAACCGCCAGTCGTCTGGTTAGCAGGCAAGTGTCTTAGCCACTATGCTACCAGAGCATTGTTCTTACACATTCTTTAATTATTCTGAAGGTATTATCTTTATGTATTACAATGGCCTCCTAGACAGTATATCTTAAATTAGCACTTTCTGGACAAGGTTAGAGTTACAACACTTCTTATGATTTTTATTTCTGACATCCTGCTTTCTTGCTCTCACTCATGGTATCTTATTTCTATATAGATTTATTTTTTAAACCGAAGACTTTTTTTTTTTTCTCCTTTGAAATTTATCTATGGGAATAATTTGAGTTATAGAATTAACTTTTGTTTCCCCAGCTTGAATTGTGTTATGTTTTGCCAGTTTTCTGGGAGCAGTATCTATCTGAGGTCATTTTAAGTTAACTTCTTTGGTTGAAATGTTTTAGACTATTCATTAAGCATGAATTCAGAATTCCCATGTGAGGGTTGGCTTTTGGCTACCAATTTTTAAGAAGGAATTTTTCTTTTTATTTCTGTCTGGCATTAATATCAACAACAAGTTTTTACTATCTATGTTTGCATGTAGTATGATGTCTTATTAACCCATATGTGTAATTCTTTGGCCTACATTAAAATAATGGAGGTCCCTGTTAGACTCTACAGCTTGGGCAAGGCTTAGACCTTATTTCTCTTTTTTTTTTTTATTGTGGTATATATATATATATATATTTATATATGTATCTATATCTATATATGTATCTATATATATGCATTTCTAACTATAATAAATGTCTATCTATGTATTATCTATATCTATCTATCCATCTATCTATCTATCTATAGGATCTATATCTATATTTAAGGAGCTCTGGTGGTGTAGTGGGTGAGATATTTGGTGCTAACCAGGTCAAAGGTTCAAACCCACCAACTGCTCCATGGAAAGATGAGACAATTTACTTCCATACAGACTTAAAGACTTGGAAACCTAATGGGCGCCACTATGAGTTGGAATCTACTCAGTGGCAGTGGATTTATGTATTTATTTATTTATTTGTATGTATGTATGTATCTATCTATATTTTTATATTTATATTGTATTTATATACATATAACAAAACATTTGTCTTATTAATGTTTTTTTAGATATACAATTCAGTGATATTAATTACATTCATCATATTGTATGACCAGTCACTGCTATGTTTCCAAATTTTTTATTACCTTTAAATAAAACTCAGTGTCCCTAAGTAATAACACCCTCTTTTCTCCTTATATCCACCCCTGGTAATCTCTCATAAACTTTGGTTGTTACACATTTGCCTATTCCAGATATTTTATATAAGTAGTATCATATGGTATTTCTCCTTTTGTGACTGATTTATTTCACTCAGCACATTTTCAAGGTTCATCATGTTGCAATGTGTATCAGGACTTCATGTCTCTTTATGGTTGAGTACTAATCCATTGTATGTATGTACCACATATTGTTTATCCATTCATCTATTGATGGGCATTTATGTATTTCTACCTTTCAGCTAATTGTGAATAGTGCTGCAGTGAACATTGGTGTACAAACATTGGACTTTATCTCTTGACTGCTATATCTCACTTGTGTAGCCATTAAGGCAGTGTCAAAACTGTGAAGGGTCTGACATTTTGTTGTACTTACAAGCTAACAATTTAGCCTGCCATAGTTTCATAGATGCTAATAGAAAACACAAGACTCCTGGATCAGAAATAAAGGACAATTTATTACTTATATCAGTTGCAGTATCAGCATTTATATTGGTTTTCTGAGCTTTAATTCCCATAGGATGACAAAAAGAAGGCCAGGTGACAGCATACACATATGTGGTAGGTTATATTATTACAAGAGGAACCATGAGCTTATATAATGGAAAATAAGCCTGCCTGACTTTTGCTCTGGAGAGAGACACTATCTTTATTATAATAGACAGCAAATAAGTCTGTCATCCAAAGCTGTCCAATCATCCTTGAAAAGTTAGTGTGGAATAAAGGCAGTCAGTGCCTCTGCTTTTAAAATATGCAGAAAAACAAGAGACCCTGGGAGAATTGCTTTTCATCAGGTAGAAGCTCACATATTTTAGCAGAAATGCCCAGGTCAAATTATTTCACTTCCTTTTGACTTCTAGAAGAGCTGTTCATGACATCTCAGCAATACTTTATAAAATATATGTTTTAATTTCAGGAATTAGGTCATTTAAGATAGGTATTACCCAAATTACATTAAACTTTTAATATCAAGATGTATCAAAACAACTGCATGGAAGCAATCTGATTGCTAATAACACTGTCATGAAAATTAGAGACAGATAATATAAATTTGCCAGTATGGGACTATCACCCTAATATTAAGGTTTTTATTTTTAATGATGTACAAATTCTCCTATATGACAAAATGTGACTGACTAGCTTGAGTCATGACTTCTGAAATAAATTGTGTCAACAGTATTCTGTCTCTTAGTGGTTGTCAATTATGACCTCTAACTAAATTTCTCAGGTTCTGTCTTCAGTTTGATCACTGGCCAATGATTAAAGACATTTATAATTCTCTGTTTAGATGGAAGCTTTCTACAATGACATATGTTACTTTTATAATTGTTGTTGTTGTTGTTATGTGCCATCAAGTCGGACCTGACTCACTTTCATAATAGATCAATTAAATTTATGGAAAATAATTCTAATAAATATTGAATGGATCTGGGGAAAGGCCAGTGGCTTTGTATAATGTTTTGATCTCTAAAACTATCTTTCTAAATGTATATTTTTGTGATCTTGAATGAATTGATTTCAGAAAATTAATTTGACTTATCTCAATTTAATTTCATTTTTTTTGACAACTCAATATGTAAATATAAGAAGAATTACAAATGTAATCCACTTTTATAGCTAACATGTTCCTAATTTATTCTAGATAACTATGATTTTGAGTCACCCTATGTGACTGAATCTTCAAAACCATTTGTAAAATTATCTAGGGATGAGGCAAGCACTTCTAAAACACCCCATCTTCCTTCACTGACAAAAGCACCTTCAGGTAATTTTTTATATTTTGGTATAGATTTTTTTTTTTAATATATAATGATTTGAATGTATAGAAATAAGCATGTTGTACTAGCTTTAGTCATATAACCAGTTTAGCAAAATACACAAAAAAAGTAAACTTCTGAATTAAATTCATCTAAAAGATATTAGTATCCCTGGCATTGTTCTTCCTTTGCTTCTGCCACTACATAGGAATTCTATTTCTTTTTCTCAACCTTTCTTTCTTGCTTACTGTTAGTGATCCTGTGGAGGTCTGAAACAAACACTATTTCTATTATCATCTTCTGTACCTTTATATATCCCTCTTTTGTCCAAAAGGAGCTCTGGGGGCACAGTACCTAAGGCATTTGACTGCTAACCAGAAGGTTGGTGGTTCAAACCCAACAGGCACTCTGCGGAAGGAACACTGGGCAATCTGCTTCCATAAAGATTTACTGCCTCAGAAACCCAATGGGAATTGTTATTAGTCAGAATCAACTCAATGGCAATGGGTTGTTGTTGTTGTTATGTGCTGTCGAGTCGGACCCGACTCATAGCGACCCCTCCTTGGGTTGCCAAGGCAGTATCACTACGGAAGTAGATTGGCCAACCTACCTTCCGAGGACTGGCTGATGGGTTTGAACCGCCAGCCTTCTGGTTAGCAGTCAAGTGTCTTAGGCACTATGCTACCAGAGGTTGTCTTTTTTTTTTTTTGGCCAATCACAGGCTGAAATAGGGTCTGAAATAGAAAGAATGAATATGAGAGTAAGGAAGGAAAATAGACTTTAAGATTATATTTTTTCCTTCATTATTTATTCCCCAGCCATCTGATTACACTAATACCTAAAATCTAATTCACAGATATCATTTCTCATGCATTGTTGTAGAGGTATTATGTAATCATCACTGTAGGACATTTCCTACAGATACTGAATTTGAATGTTTTCTTAAAGTAGATGGTTTTTCTTTGCTTTAATATATGCTGTAATACCCAAAATATATATGCCATATTTTATCCATAAAGATTCTGTTTGAAAAATCAAAGTGAAATGGAGGAGATTGAGAGATTATTTTAATCCCATTTTTTCTGGGTTTTTTTTTTTTTTTTTTTTTTTCAATAATAAGTACCATAGTGGCTAAGGCACTTGACTGCTAACCAGAAGGCTGGCAGTTCAAACCCACCAGCCACTCCTTGGAAGGAAGGTTGGGCAATCCTACTTCGGTAGTGATACTGCCTTGGAAACCCAAGGAGGGGTCGCTATGAGTCGGGGCCGACTCGACGGCAAACAACAACAACAACAACTGGTGGTATAGTTGGATAGGCATTTGGCTGCTAACTTCAAGGTTGGTGGCTCAAACCCACCAGCTGCTCCATGGGAGGAAGATGAAGCAATCTACTCTGTAAAGATTTACAGCCTTAGAAACCCAATGGGGTTGCTATAAGTTAGAACTGACTCAATGGCAGTGGTATTTATCTGAGAATGTCTTTGTTTCACCTTCATTTTTGTCTAGTAAAGGTATAGAATTTTGCTACCCATGGCATGGGGGATGAGAACAACCCCCACAACCGGGTCACCAACTTATTGTTCTTGTTGTTGTTGTTGTTGTTATGTGCCGTCGAGTCATACCTGACTCATAGCGACCCCTCCTTGGGTTTCCGAGGCAGTATCACTACGGAAGTAGGATTGCCCAACCTTCCTTCCGAGG